GTAAGATACACCAAAATAACGTTATACGAGTTATATACATATAGGTGCAATGTGAGGCTATTACATGATTGCAGAAATTCCAGAGAATCAGAATGAAAAGATGACAATATATCTACAGTTTCTTGTTTTTTGTGGCGTAAATGAATATAATCGCAGATCATTCGTTTAGGGTAATGAATGAGGTAGAATGAATATGGGCATCGTTATACCGTTGGTTTGGTAGATTTGATTCGAGCCTTGCAAACTCACATGTTTGTAGGATCTGTTCTTGTACAGATTTTTGTTGTTGTGTGGAAGAGTGAATGAATCAGTAATAACATTGAGGATAGAGTGGTTAGCTATTAATTTTTCCTAGCGGCTTAGACATCCGTAAATCTTGGCGATTAATTTTCTAAATGTTGAATTGTTATTAATAGGAGTTGAGCATTGTTAGATTACCATAACTGACAAATCTCTGTTCGTTTCTTGTTAGTTTATTCATTTTTGATACTTCTGAAAACAAATTTATAAGTTTGAACTTGCCAGAATTGTGATTATCAAAGTGATAATATGCTGTTTGCTGCTCTTTGAGACTTTGATTGTAAATTGAATTTGTTTTAATGCTTAGTTTTGCATCAAACTTTGATATGATCAATAAAATTGATAGAAATTTGTATATGGATTTTTTCGTATGTCGTTGTAAGTGGATATCATCAAGTCGCTTTTTGGACCAAGAACATGTAAAAAACTCGTTCCTTGCAAGATCTGAACAAAACCATTTTAAGATGGCTAAAATCCAACAAATCAGTCGAAAGAAAATTACTTCCGGATCAAAGTCAGGACCACTAGAGGTAAACCGAGTCCATCAACCCAATCAAGTTTGCTGTAAGAAAATCTAAAGTAATTTACTATCCAAAATAGCAAAACAAAAAGTAAGATGAGCAAATATCTCTAGTTGCAGCAAAAAGGTAGTTTGAGAATAAAAACACCAAAATCCAAATAAACTTTAACTTCTTCAAAAACCAAAAATAAGAAACCAAACGTACGTAGTCAAATTAAACTTTTAATTACGATTATTCTCTTTGACTTTGAGGAACCGGGACCAAACTTGGAAAGTAGGTACAATGCAAAGGCCAATGATCAACCACAGAATTTGTTTGGGTTTGTCTAATCAACTTATTTTCTCCCATGACATAGATCCAAGCCCGACCAGTTTCATCGCAACAACACACGACAAGCCTTTTATCGTCGATAAAGTAACTTGGTTGAGAGTCAGATTCGCTTTGCACTAAATCCGGCAACTTAGGAATTGACACTTCCATGAAAGTCATCCAAACCATATACTCATCGTGGTTAATCTTGTTCTTGGTCACCCAAATCTCAATCTTCTTTGTCGCGTGGCATTGTTTTAGCAACGAAAACCGATCTCCCTTAAAAACCTTAAGGACAAGAACATCCCGTGGATGGTTCTTCCGACATGGTAGATCACAAAAGTAGAAGAATTTCTGCGTCGGAAAACCAAACTGAACTAGGTGGTACAAGGGATCAGTCTTGTCATAATAAGCAACCCAATACAAATTTCCATTCAACGATACAGCACTATTGTTGTGTGACGTAGGACGTTTGGTTACATGAACCCGAGTAGTACCACTAGATTCCGACTGGGTTTGGTCTTTCCACGCATCCGTGGCAGAGTCATGTATTTTCCATATTGACTCATTAGTTCCCTTCCAATAAAAAGCTAATGTCTTGTAAACATTTTCCTTCACTCTCCCATCATAACCTATGCCATTGAATTCTAGAGCAGGTTGGCTAACCTCGGGCATGATCACTCTGGTCTGTTTCAACCACGGGTTCCAAACCACGGCTCCTTTACCCATAGGACATAGCAAGAACTCATTGTAATCAACTAACTTTTTAGGAATTTGAGATTGTAAACCGGAAATATCTAATGTTAACTCACGCACCACTACCTCCGGATCGATGCTTACCGAATAAAACTTGGATTTAGTCGTCAAGACGAATCGAAACGTGGACTTGTGGTTGTTGAGAAACGTCTTGTCGTCGAAGAGAACGTTCCATTATAGTGATATGATTATATACAGAAAAGTAAGAAATTTTGCTTCTTTCATGGACTCCATTGCTGTAAAATTTGTTCTTCAAGAAGATATTAGTTCTGTTTTTGGCTTATTGAATTTGAAGGCCAGCGTTGCATTTGAATCCGGAAATGACACAAGAAAGTGTTGTTCTCTCTCTAATTAAAGGAGCTCAATATTGCCGAGAGTATTATAGTACAGCCCAACTCACAAATGGAAGTGAGAACCATAATTAAACCAGATCTATAAAATTAACCGGTTTTGAACCAGAACTTAAATTGGGATTAGGAGGTTGCACAACTTTGTAATCTATGAGACTATGATCCACATTGTGGATTCCACATAACTTGGTTCCCATTTCAACAAGAATGTGACGTTTATTGTCCAAGTT